TCTTAGATTTGGAAATTGTTATTGAATATGTCAATGCTGTTGTAATGAAATGCTTCTTCTAATCATGTGGTTATTAAATAAATAACTTTAAAAAAACATAAAAAATCACTTTACTGTAATGGACTCATAAAAACATCATGCAGCTAGATCAACATAGGCACTCAACTTTTAACTTTTTAAATAAAAAATAGAACTATATAAATAAAAAAAATAATAAAGAAGAAAACTTCATACCCTATAAAAAGGAAAGTTAGACAATGATACCCAAATTCTTTACTGATTTAACCACCAACTTGGAAGGAAATGCTTTTTCTTTCCTTATGATCTTTCCCCAGATTGTTTATTTACTGAGGATAATGCAGTCTCCTGTGACAGCTCAGTTCCCACAGTCAGAAATGACTGTGCAGCTCTGTGAAAACTTGATGGTTTATGCTCATAGAAAGGAGTCCAGTGGGCTACATTTATAATATATCTGTTAAAAGAATCTAAAAATGATTCCAGAAGATAAAAAGTTCAGGAAAGCCTTCTCAATGGTGTATGCCACAGACCCCTTGGAAGTCTGGTGAGCATGAGCATCGCTTCTGAGAACAGTAGGGTGTGCAAGAGTGCATGCGTGTGTCCGTGTGTATGTGTGTGTTACATGCATGCATATGAATGTGACTGTGGAGGATTTAAGGACTTAGATGTCATTCCCCAGGAACCACCCACCTTGTTTTTTGAGACAGGGTTTCACTGAGATCCAAGGCTGACTAATTCGACCAGGTTAGTAGGCTAGCAAGCCTAAGGTTCTGCCCATCTTTACCTCCCCAGCTCTCGTTTTATGTGTGTGCTACCATATCCAGTTTTCACATAGATTCTAGGGATTGAACTCAGGTCCTCATGCTTACATAGCAGCATTTAACCAACTGAGCTATCTTCCCAGAACTGAAAACAATGCTTTTGTAAGCATAAAGTAAAATATATATGATCGCAATGGAAACCGATTACATGGAAACAGAACTATCAAAATATTGTAAATAGCTGGGCATGGTGGCTCACACCTTTAATCCAGAACTTGGGAGGCTAAGTCAGGTGGATCTCTGTAAGACTGAGGCCAGCCTAGTCTATACAGTGAGTGCCAAGCTGGGGCTACAGGGAGACACTGTCTCAAAAAGACCGAAGGGGGTGCGTGGAGAGATGGCTCAGTGGTTAAGAGCACGGTCTGTTCTTGCAGAAAACCTAGGTTCAAATCCCAGCACCCACATGGCAGCTAATAACCATCTGTAGCTCCAGCTCCAGGGGGTTCGATGCCTGCTTCTGTCCTCTGTGGACATTGCATGACGTGGGTACACTTACATACATGCAGGCAATACATGTATACATATAAAATAAAAATAATAAATAAAGTATAAAAAAGCCAAAAAAATGAAAATAAGATTCAGATAGAGTAAGATAAAACAAGAGTCTTTATGTCTGTCAGATGGAATGTCTGTGTTTTTTTTTACTTCATAAGTACAAATTATATAACATAAGTCTCTAATTAAATAACATGGTGGCTCTAATAACTTTCAAAATGTCGAAGTGGCAATAGCATACATGTCTGAAGATTATGATTATGTCTCAAGTATGCCTGTATCAGTGAGAAAGTCATGGATCTCTTAAACATTATTGTGGTTTTCTACATTCAAAATCAAAAGAAATGATAAATGTCAGGGAGAATTTAGTGAAAATAAACACATATTTTCTTTCCCATCTACATTCACAGACTCCTGAATTCTATTCCAGATTCTGTGCAAACTCCCAAAGGAGTTAATTTATTCATATTTGTTATACAGATGCTTCCCCTGGCCCACCACATTGCAGAAGGATTTCAGTCTTGAACTTAAAAAGAATCAGAGACTGTCTTTTTGTGGAGTGCAAACATCCTTTGAGGCCCCACCCCTTCTTTTGTAACCCCTTTTCCCAGTGAATTACTGGCCTGGTGAGAATAGCCCATAAGCAGCTGCCTAGGGTCTGGAAGCTGACCCTTGACAGGGCTGAAAGGAGTGCCCCACCCCCACATCAGAGGCCCATGGAGAAAGAGGTCACACATTTTCTTTTGAACTGATGTCATCAGCCAGGGACTAGAAGGGCCTTGGGTCATTCTAGGGTAGAGCAAAGTTGGAGAGTAAGACTGGAAGAAGAGCAGAAGTAAAGTTAGAAAAAAAGACTGGGTTTTAGACTCAGAATGAACTCTGAAATCTCATCAGTTCAACTCATACCCTTCCTACAACCCTGAGACCCCTGCTGACACTCAGCTACCCTTTCCTTGAATGCTTATATAGAAAACTTCAGACTTTATGAAGTAACCCATTTCATTTTGTCCATCTCCAGTGATTAGCAAGTACCTTCTTATTAGGGAGCACCTTTCTCTAGAATATCCAGCCTGCTTATTCACACGTCCCAATTCTATCAGTTAAAGACAGGCTAAGACATCCAACTTTCTTGTTTGACACTGTGAAGACTGACATAGTTAAGAGTCAGCAGGTAAGACTTCAATTTTAAGGTTGTCTGGCAGTTTTCATGAGCTCTTTTAATTTTAAAACAAGAATTTCCAAGCAGGATAAATTGAACAGCTACAAAACCATGAATTCTGTGACTTTTCCACTTTAGGAAGTCAACTTTGAGATGTCTGTAAATGATTAGATGTAGAACCTGAGCAGTGTGACGCTGACATCAAAGCACTAACTCATGCCGACTTAGGAGACAGAGTTATCTTGTGGGTTCTCCTCCTTAGTCCACATGTAACTAGTTTTCCAAAGGAAATACGTATTTTAAGCATGTGCTTCCCAGGGCACTCAGGCATGTACTTAAGCTTTTCAGAGAATCATTGATGTGGTTAGGGATATCAGGGTCCATATTCATATAAGTGCAGGTAAGTACCTCTTACTTGCAGTTAGCAAACCCTGCTCCTAGGAACAATGATATCTAATTCCTTACCAGATTTGTTTATATTTTGAACCTATAGTCTTGGGTATGTTACAGTGATTGCACATGGCAAATGTACTCCTTAGTTTGCAAGAGAAAAGTTTTGCGAAACATTTTGAGGGTAAATAAGATTTGTGTGCATAAATGTAAAGAGCAAATTGCATTTCCTCAAGTAACATAAAACAAGCCTCTGCATGTCTGTCAGATGGAATGTCTTATCTGTATTTTTTATCATAAAAACAAATTGCATTGTCTACATACATATCTAGTCCCTCTTTTTTAGTAGATTAGCCTTGGAATTCTTTGGTGCACAAAAACAGTTTTTGCTAGGCATGGTGGCACACACCTTTGTTCCTATCACTTGTGAGGCAAAGGCAGGCCTGGTACATAGCGAGTTCTAGGTCAGCTGGGGCTACAGGAAGATCCTGTCTCAAAAACCAACCCCCCCAAAGAAAAACAAAAAAGAAAAGAAAAACGGTTTTGCACAGTTGTATGGCAGTATGAGAGTGGGGTGGAGGAAAATAGCAGCTCAATTCAAGCTACACACTGGCCAACATCTCTATGCAACTGAAGAACACTGACTGAACTCTTATACAGAACACTCAGCCTTGTGGAGCTGTCAGTGATAGGGTCTTATTCTGTAGCCCAGGCTGGCCTGGAACGCCCTATGTAAAACAGGCTAGCCTCAAATTCTGCCTCTTGAGTACTGGGATCAAAGGCATGCACCACCAGCTGGCTGAAGCACATTTTAAGGCAGTGAAATATGATGACCTCCTCCCTCCCCAGTTAATTCATTTTAAGCTTTAGCAGATTTAAAAATCATTGTAAGAAGTGAACTGTGAAAATGATCAGTACCTCCATGAACTTGGATGTGGCGTTGAGCATGCAAGTTTTGTGCTGCTCACCCCTGTACTCAAAAGGCACCATGACGAAGCCGATGGCTTCTGGGATGGCCAGGATAAAGGACAGGATCCAGATGGAGACAATTTCAATGGCAGTAATCAAGGGAATCCCAATTCCTTGAACGCGACTCCAGGAGGCAACAGCTCTGTACCTAAAATGAAAAAAAGAAAAAAGTGGGGTGGTAAAAGAAAGATAGTTAATTTTGAACTCATTTTGTTTACAAAGCATCTTCCCTTGGCCAAAGACCAACTATTGGCTTTTTGGGAATTTTCTGTGAGTCTAGGTGTGAAAAACAATTTAACCTTCTAGGAAACAGATTGCTTGGCAGACCTGAATCTAAGATCTGAAGTTCTTCCATCCAGATAGGCCATGGCCAGTGCAACCATGAACACATAGCAGCTATGAACACCAATGAGCCCAAGACTGGGCCCTTCAACATTTCATCATGATGGGGGAGGCACCCGTGAAGTCCCACCCATTCCTGAGGAGTTATTGGTAGTCCATGGTTTGTTAGGCAGGCAGTGTGTTTTCTTCAGTGGTCTAGCCACTAGTAGGTTGCCTCATGTTCCAGCAAATACTTCTCTACTGAACCTCATAAGCACCCCTAATTAAACCCAATGAGTGGGGGACAGGGGCAGAGAGAGATGAAAGTAAGAGGTCAGCTAGTTGGGAAGAAGGGGTTCAGAGGGAGAGGGAGGAGACAAAGGAGGGTAATGTGAGGTGCCTATAACTACAATACATTGTATATATGAAATGTGGATGAAATCGTCAAATACATAAACGATGGTGAAAGTGGCAAATAATCTTGAGAGAGTTTAGGAAGTGGCAGCAGAGAGGTTAGCCCATGTGTTTTAAGCTGAGAGAAAAGTGGACGGTGGAAAGGGTGGTGGCAGCTGCTAGTCCTTTTCATAGCCTCAAAATAGTAACACCGATTCCTCTTTAAATATAAAGAAAACTTGAAAGATTATCTATGAAGTGTTTAGTCCTTGAGTGAATAGTGACCATTCCATCGTTTCCTCCCTTCATCTACCTTCAAAATAGGATTAACATGGCTTGGACCAGGTGGCAGTTTTAATTAAATAAATATAACTTCTGTGAGTATCAAAGGATAGTTCAGTATCTCCCATTAGAGTCCTATGCTAAAATATGTGAAATTGAGTTACAAATATCTTCATTCTTAACCTTTGGAGTTTGCAATCTAACAGAAAATAGTTTATAAAGAATATAAATGTGACTGAAAAATAAGGTTTAAAAGCCTCTCTGGCATTAATAAATTGTGCTTTGCACAAGACCTGCTCAAGATCACACCAGCTAAAATCCCACCATGGACTGGGGAGGGCTCATGAAGTTCAACCCCTAGCTGAGGAGCTATTGGCCACTGACAGCTCCTGGGTGAGAAAGAGTCATTTTTTTTCAGGGATTTGGCCTTAGAGAGGCTACCCATGCTCCAGTAGACGGTCCTACCCAAGCATGAACAGGAAGCACTATGTGGACTCAGTGTATTACACACACACACACACACACACACACACACACACACACAAGTTAGGAGGATAAAGTGGTGGGGGGATAGGAGAAGAATTGGAGGGGAGGGAAAGGGGCAGTGGAATTTATTAAAATGCATTATGTGCATGTATGAAATCCAATTAAAAAGGAAATTATGTTTATCATATTTTCAACACTGTGTGTGTGTGTGGTGGGGGGAGCTCCTGCAGCTCAGACTGGCCTAGAATTTACAATGTATGCTAGGAAAACCTTGAATTTTCGACTCTCTTGCCCCTGCCTCCCAAGTGCTGGGATTGCAGACATGTACCATCACTCCTGGCCACTTTAATATTTTTATGCCAACAATCACATTTAAAGGTTAAGTCTGAAGAAAGTCTAGCTTAGAAACTCTGTGCTCTTTGACCTGATGTGATGGTCTGATGCTAACTGCTTTCAGGCTTACTATGAAGAATAGACCTGGGACACGGCATGATATTTTTGTGGCTTCAATCTTGAAATTTTTGTTTCTGTTGTAATGGAAAGGAAACATTTTCCTTTTATAGTTTTCATTGACTAGTGCCAGAAGAAGGCTGTAAAACAGACGAGAGCATTGGGCACAGGTGCACTTGGGTTTGCTGGACATGCCTCTTTCTGTTGAAGATTTATCAATAAAGCCAAGGCATGTACAAGTTACCCATAAACACCAAAATGAGCCATTTATCATTTTTGTTAGTGTACTATCTCAGTGTGTCTCATCAGTATCTGGGAAAACATAGCTCCCAAGACTAACGATGCCTAATTATTTACCAAATTTGCTACTAGATTAGAGCCTATAGACTTATGTCTATGACAATGGTACTACTTGATATATTTGCAGCTTAATTTGCTGGAGAAATGTTTTAAAAAAGATTTTTAAGAAAAATGAAATTTGCATGTATAAAGATCTCTGAAAAAAAGACCAGGTTAGTTCTGAATGCAATAAAATGCAACTATACAAACAGATCAAGAAAATCCTTTTATGATATAGCCTAAATAGAGTCTTAACATTTATGATTCTGCCGGGCGTGGTGGCTCATGCCTTTAATCCCAGCACTTGGGAGGCAGAGACAGGTGGCTCTCTGTGAGTTCGAGGCCAGCCTGGTCTACATAGTGAGTTCTATGCCAGCTGGGGCTACAGGGAGACCCCGTCTCAAAAAAAACAAGAATAAAAAAATCCACGATTCTTTTAGTGAGATCAAGGTTGCTGGTCATTTTTCTTCCTGGTTCTGCTTTCTTTTCTTTGTTGCCTTACTGAGCTGGAAGCCTGATGTCCAGCAAAAGCTACAGTGGAGGCGGGTTGTTTGTGTCCCTAGGCTGTCAGCTGAGTTGCATCTGTTTCTTCTTCCCTTCCCTAAGCTCAGTTAGATGATTTAAATAAAACACCTTATCCCACAAGAAAGTAAGAAAGCCAGGTTTCTTAGCTAGGATTTAGGGTGGAAGATGGCTTAAGTTAGACAACGTGATGAACTTATTCACAAACCAGCTCCATTTTATATTGTGTCATGAGTTCTCAGAATATTACATGGTGCTAGTTAAGATATTTGTTCCCTAAAGTTGATATGCTACAACAGGTCACCAGTGCTGTTAAGAGTAGGCAGAATTAGTAAGATAGGGCCTAGTGAGAGGAAGTTAGGTCCCCTGAAAGGGATCACAGAATGCTAGTCTTTTGTATTCTCTCTGCTCCCCACCCCCCATTACTAGGTGAGTGGTTTTACTCAGCCACACCACTCCCAACAAAATGAGCTGCCTCAACATAAGCCCAAAAGTAAAGGGTCAATTAACCATGGCCAGAAACCTTCAAAACTCTAAACTAAAAGAAATCTTCCCTCGTAAGCTGGTCATTTCAGGTATTTTTGGCAATGGCAGGAATCTGGCCAGCACATATATACACGTACCCATAATCTTGTGTCAATTCAATATTTACATGTAAGTAGAAGTAATTTTTACTATTTGGCTTACTGACACATATTACAGAGAACTGGAGTATTTTTTATTTGCAATCACCTTGATCTTGATAACAGCTTTACTGGATATCAGAGCAATTAGAAAGAATTACTTGTGATGATGGACATGGGTGAGTTGTAGAAAATACGAAATCCTAAATGTTCCAAAACTGATTTCTTCTTGAAAGTTTATTGTGTAAAACATATATACACAAATAGTCTTTGCTTATTTTATTTTTGAAGCAGGGCCTCATTATGCAGCCCTGGTTGGCCCAGAACTCACTATGTAGATCAGGCTGGCCTCCAACTCACAAAGATCCACCTGCCTCTGCCTCTTGAATGTTAAGATTAAAGATATGTGCCACCACACTGAGTCAAATATGGTTTTCTTACTAATGAACAGCCTTCAGTTTAGTTCTATGTGTGTGTGTGTGTGTGTGTGTGTGTGTGTATGTGTGTGTGTATGTATGTATGTATAAGTGACATCTTCAGTTGTTATAGAAAATCTGCAAGTATAGATCCAGTCACCACCAATTGATACTTCAGAAATAAATATTTCCTCTTTTAAAGAATATTTTATTTTTATTTTATTTTATGTATAAGTGTATTGCCTGTATAGATGTAAGTGAACCTGTGTCATGCAATGCTAGCAGAGGTCAAAAGATGACATTGAATCTCCTGGAACTAGAGTTATTAATTGCCATGTGGGTGCTGGGAGTAGAACCCAGGTCCTCTGGAAGAACGACCAGTGCTCTTAACTGCTGAGCAATCTCTCCAGCCCCAAATCTTTCCTCTTAAAATGTTTTCATCAGTTTGATTGCCCCATATTGGCCACTGGTTCATTGGTGGACCCTGGCCAATTCCAACATTCTTAGATTGGATTTCTCCTAGGCCTTTGTCCTTGGACCCCTACCTTGGCAATCTCACTCCATTTTGTGGCTGTAGTGTCATTTAAACCATTTATTGACATCCCCACCCCCAGGCTCAGAGATCGTAGTAGAAGAGGAGTTAGAAAGATTGTTCCTAAGAGCCAGAAGCTGGAGGATCAAAGTGAAACAGTGTCTTCTGTTTTACTGGATAGGACTGCTGTACTCATGAACTCACAGCAGCTGTGGTTGGCTATACAAGACCTGCACATGATCAAGACATTCAACATTCTAGTATGGAATGGGTGGGGCTCTTGAGGAGCTATTGATAGTTGATGGCTTCTGGGGGAGGGAGAATCAATTTTCTTTAAGAGTGTGGCTCCGGTAGGTCTACCACACTCCAGTTGATGGGCCTACATCTAGGAGTACATGGGCAGCACACATTGGACTTAGCAGGTATTAAAAAAATAAAAGGGTTCTTCATTATGGTGCAGGATCAAGATGAAAAGGAGAATCCCAGGTGGAAACTTCTCATCCACAAGCTCTGTCTTAACATCTGTGTGGAGAAAATGGAGACTGACCCGGGCAGCCAAGGTGTTGGAGCAGCTCACAGGACAGAAGCCTGTATTTTCCAAAGCATGATACACCAATAGGTCCTTTGGCATCAAGAGAAATAAGAAAATTGCAGTTCACTGCACAGTCGATGGGACCAAGGCAGAGAAAATGCTGGAGAAAAGTCTGAAGGTTCAGGCGTATGAGTTATGAAAAATAGCTTCTGTGATATTGGAGACTTTGATCTTGGAATCCAGGAACATACT